CAATGCCTGATTTACCTGGATGATGTGATCATGTTCAGTAGATCTCTGTCTGAGCACTGGTCCAGGTTACGGGAGGTGTTCCAGCGACTGCGAGCGGCTCATCTCAAGCTCAAGCCGCGTAAGTGTTACATCGCACAGCGCGAGGTGGGGTACCTCGGACATCGCGTCAGCGAGGCGGGGGTGTGCACCGATCCGGACAAGGTACGCGCCGTAGTGGATTGGCCACAGCCAAGAAACCTGACGGAGATAAGATCCTTTTTGGGGCTCGCCACCTATTATCGTCGATTTGTAAAGGGATTCAGCGAGATTGCACGCCCCCTCACCCAACTCACTTCCCCCAAGAACCCCTATCAGTGGACGGAGGCCTGCCAGACGGCCTTCACCACCCTCAAAGACCACCTCACACACACCCCCACACTGGCTTTCCCCGATTTTACCACCGACTTTATTTTGGACACCGACACCTGCAGCAGCGGGCTGGGTGCGGTGTTTTCGCAGGTGCAGGAAGGAATGGAACGGGTGATTGCGTACGCCAGCCGGACCCTGAGCGGGGCCGAGCTGAACTACTGTGTGACCCGTCAGGAATTGTACGCGGTGATCTTCGCGTGTAAACAGTTTCGGCCGTATTTGTACGGCAGGAAATGTCGGGTGCGCACGGACCATTATGCTCTGCAGTTCCTCCTCACCTTCAAGGAACCGCGGGGGCAGATGGCCCGATGGCTGGCGCAGCTGCAGGAGTACAACCTGCAAATCGAGTACCGGGCGGTGCGGACGCATGCAAACGCGGACGCATTATCACGGTGACCCGCGGTGTGTGCTGAGACGAGGGCGGAGGAGGCCTGCCCGTGCTTCACGGGGGGACGTTGCCGATAGGCAACGGGACCCCCGGGAACCCGCTGAACCTAACCCCCCCCCGGCGAGAGAGAGTGCGGTATGCGCCACAGAGACCCCCACAGGTGGAGGCGCGGACCCAGTCGACCGCCCGGCGAGCGCAGGGCCCACGACTCGGGACCCAGCGGACCACCCCGCCCCGATCGGACGGATCCAGGAGGACGTCGGCTGCGCCTTCCCGGGCCTGAACGACGAGCAGCTGAGGCAGACCCAGCAGCGGGATCCGGAGCTGGCGGCGGTGGAAGCGGCCCTGCGGGAGGGGAAAAGCACCCTACCAGGGCCCTGGAGCGGTTTGTATGCCCGGTTGTGTGTGCAGAACGGGGTGGTACGGGAGTTAACCGAGGCCGGCCAGCCGGGGTGCATCTGTGTTCCCGCCCAGGTGCGACCCCAGCTGCTACGGCTGGTACACGACCACCCGCTCGGGGGCCATGACGGGGAATGGCGCACTCGGGAGACTCTGCGTCGCCAGTATCTCTGGCCCAAATTGACGCAAGATGTGGCCGCCTGGGTACAGGGCTGCCGCGCTTGTCAGCAGTGCGGACCGAAACCGGCACGATACCAGGTACCCCTAAGGCCGTTCCGCGTCAGTCGGACGAACCAGCTGGTCGGCATCGATCTCCAGGGGCCGTTCCCACGATCCCACCGGGGCAACCGCTATATCCTCGTAGCGGTGGAATACTTCACCCGCTACCCCGTGGCGGTGGCCATCCCCGATAAAACGGACCTGGTAGTGGCCCGGGCGTTCGTGGAGCACTATGTACTTAAGCACGGGATCCCGGAGCGAGTCCTTACCGACCAGGGTAGCGAGTTCGAGGCCGAGTTGTTTCAGGCGCTGTGCCGGGAGTTCGGAATCCAGAAAGACCGAACCACGGCGTACCACCCCCAGGTGAACGGTATGGTTGAGCGTATGAATCAGACTCTGGCCGGAAAGCTCAAGCGTATGGCGGCCGCAAACCAACGGGATTGGGACGAACACCTCCCCTACGCCCTGTTCGCCTACGCCACCACGGTGCACACATCGACAGGACAAACCCCGTTCCTAATGATGTTTGGTCGTGAGTCTCGTCTACCCGCAGACTTGCTGTTCGGCATTCCTCCACCCCAAACGGAGGAAGGGAGTCGCCCCGTGGAGCATCTGATGGAGACCCTACGAGGGGTCCGGGACCGGGCCTACCCGCAAGGGGAGGCCGCGCATCGGCGACAGGAGCAGAGCACCCGACCCCGCGTGGAGCCCCCCCTTTTCTTGACAGGCACCAAAGTGTGGCTACACACCCCTCGCGTCGGGGCCGGACAGGTGGGGAAGCTGACCACCTACTGGCGGGGACCCTGGACCGTGGTACGGCAGATCTCTCCCTGGACGGTATTAATCCAGGGTGGAGAGAGGGGCCGAGAAACGGTGGTTAACGTCCGCCGCTTAAAACCATGGAGGGCAGCCCCGGCGGGGGAGAACCTCGCCGCCCGAGTACCGCGAAATCCCGGTGCCCCTGCGCCACCCGTGCTCGGGGGCCTCGCGCACTACATGGGCCCCGCCGGGCCCCCAGCTCCGAGGCGTCCCGGCCCCGCCAGAGGACGGCGGGGACGCCGCCCCTTAAATCCCGCTGCCGCGGAGTTTGTCCCCCAGCCCCCAGGTGCCGAGGGACAGAAGGAGCCACTGGAGTGGAGAAGGAGACCGCCGCAGGAAACCCCGAGGACGGAGCCACCTCCCCCGAGGCTAGCCACGAGGTCCGGGCGGATCCCCCGGACCCCGCAGCGCTACCTCGTGGGCGCGGCCCAGGCGAGGTGCTCCAGTCAACCCGGGACGGGGACTGGCACCTCGGGGGGCTATGTGATGCCGCCGCCACGGAGCCGATCGGCGGGCGGCCCACCTGCGATCTCGCCGCCCCGAGCGACGAGGCCGACATTGCTCCACCCTACCACCTCCCCACCCCCCCCACCGGAACACACACGCACGCACTCCCCCCACCATTAGAGCGCGTGGGGAGACACTCTGGCCGACAGGTTTTCACCCAGAAGCCCTCGTAAAGGGATAATCTTCACGGTTTCCTGCGGCCAGGGAATTGGACGGTCTCCTCCGACGCTAACACACACCGTGGCGCCGTGACTTGAGTAAAAATGACATGTTCACGGCGGGGCTGCCCCGCCACCGCGGTTAGTACGCACCTCACGCACACGGGTCGGCAGGGCAGGTAGGGAGGAGGGCAGAGCCACGAGCGGCGGGAAAGCAGGGTCGCCCTCTGGCTGGATGGCCGCTGAGCAGGTAAATTTAGATGCGGACGTCGCTGAAAGCAACGGCCCGGGGGATGCTGGGATACAGATGGGCCTACCGATTGGCGGGTGATCCCAGCGAGCTGATTGGCCCGCGAGTCGGCACCAGGTAGCCCTTTTGATGTAGAAAGAATAAAGCGAGTGAGGGCGAAGGAAAAAGGTCTCTGGCTACTCGAGTCAACCCCAGGCCCGTCAACTCCCGAGTCCAACCGCGCGAACGTCCGTGGGACGTATCGACGCGCCGCGAGAACCAGCCGGCAGTGACGACGAACCGTGAGGTGTGGAAAGAGAGTGGAAGCGTGGGTGCGCTTGCTGTCGCGGTGGTCGCCGCGTGTGTGGAGCGGCGCCGCGTGGAGTGTGTGCGCTACAAACCATCGGCTGCGGACTCCCACGTTGCGAGCGGATACCCATCTCGCACGCATGCCCATCGCATAGCCCTTTAAACCCGTTAATCCAATCCCCCCAATCGCTGGAGTGAGCACGAACGACGTCGCTTACCCTCCGACCTTCAACCCCCTGTTACCCGCGTGTGATTGGTGCGTGGGACTGCGCGGGCGGGGAGCGTCGCGTTTGGGTGCCGGCGAAGCGCTAGCGGGTCCCAGGGCGGTCGAGGGTGATGCCTCACCGGCAGGAAACCCGGACTCGGGGGGGGACAGCACAGGGGGGAGAACAGGAGCGCGACGACCTTTCCCCGCCCGGGGAGGAGTGCGGCGGCGGCAGCTCCCACACTAGTGGAGAGTCTGGGAGCGTCGGTACTTCGCGGACAGGGTCGCAGGCAGGAGAGATCCCGGGGGCCGGCGACCCTAACAACACACCTTCATACTCCACTACAGTAGTAATGGTGATGGTATTAATGGTAGGGTTAAGTGATAGTCGTTGTAGTGATGGTAGTGATGGTAGGATTAAGTGATGGTAGTGATAGTAGTGATGGTAGGGTTAAGTGATGGTAGTAATGGTGATGGTAGGGTTAAGTTATGGTAGTGGTGGTAGGGTTACGTGTTGGTAATGATGATGATTGTAGTAATGGTGATAGTGATGGTAGGGTTAAGTGATGGTCGTGTTAGTGATGGTAGTAATGGTAGGATTAAGTGATAGTGATGGTAGGGTTAAGTGATGGTAGTGATGGTGATGGTAGGGTTAAGTGATGGTAGTGATGGTGATGGTAGGGTTAAGTGATTGTAGTGGTGGTAGGGGTAAGTGATAGTAGTGATGGTGATGGTAGGGTTAAGTGATGGTCGTGATGGTGATGGTAGGGTTAAGTGATGGTAGTGATGGTGATGGTAGGGTTAAGTGATAGTAGTGATGGTAATGGTAGGGTTAAGTGATGCTAGTGGTGGTAGGATTAAGTGATAGTAGTGATGGTAGGGTTAAGTGATGGTAGTGGTGGTAGGGTTAAGTGATAGTAGTGATGGTAGGGTTAAGTGAGGGTAGTGATGGTGATGGTAGGGTTAAGTAATGGTAGTGGTGGTAGGGTTAAGTGATGGTAGTGATGATGATGGTAGGTTTAAGTGATGGTAGTGATGGTGATGGTAGGGTTAAGTGACGGTAGTGATGGTGATGGTAGGGTTAAGTGATGGTAGTGATGGTAATGGTAGGGTTAAGTGATGGTAGTGATGGTAGGGTTAAGTGATGGTAGTGGTGGTAAGGTTAAGTGATGGTAGTGATGGTGATGGTAGGGTTAAGTGATGGTAGTGGTGGTAGGGTTAAGTGATAGTAGTGATGGTAGGGTTAAGTGATGGTAGTGATGGTAGGGTTAAGTGATGGTAGCGATGGTAGGGTTAAGTGATGGTAGTGGTGGTAGGGTGTTTTGTAGAGGCCACGTGACGCGCCCGCTTCTCGGGGTCACGTGGGCGGGGTTTTTACGAGGTCAATGGTTTCCGTAGCAACCAGACGCGTGTCGCCGCGTCTCCCCGTGTCCGCGTCTCCCAGTGTCCGTGTGTCCCCGTGTCCGTGTGTCTGCCTCCCCGTGTCCGTGTCTCCCCGTGTCCGTGTCTCCCCGTGTCCCCGCGTCTCGGAGTGCGGCTATGTGATTGCCACGTGGCACGGATTGATCGAGGAGCTCGCAAAGACAATGTGGCACCCGGGGGAGGGGGGCCCTGGTGGCGCTGAGCAGGGAGGAGTGGGGGGCCCCGAGCGGGGAACAGTGGGGGGCCCTGGCGGCGCGGAGCGGGGAGCAGTGGGGGGCTGCGAGCCGCCAGGAGGCTGGGACGTGGGAGCGCGTCGCCTGCTCACGCTGCACGCCTACAAACTCCTGCAGCTCATCCGCGCCCAGGACGAGGCACAGGTTGGGGGGAGCAGCGTGATGGTGATGATGATGGTGCTGTATGATTGGTGATCCTGTGGTGGTGCTGTGAGTGGTGATGCTGTGATGGTGCTGTGAGTGGTGATGCTGTGATGGTGCTGAGTGGTGATGCTGTGGTGGTGCTGTGAGTGTTGATGCTGTGGTGGTGCTGTGAGTGGTGATGCTGTGATGGTGTTGTGAGTGGTGATTGCTGTGATGGTGTTGTGAGTGGTGATGCTGTGATGGTGCTGTGAGTGGTGATGGTACTGAGTAGTGATGCTGTGATGGTGCTGTGAGTGGTGATGCTGTGATGGTGTTGTGAGTGGTGATGGTACTGAGTAGTGATGCTGTGATGGTGCTGTGAGTGGTGATGCTGTGTGATTGGTGATCCTGTGGTGGTGTTGTGATGGTGCTGTGAGTGGTGATGGTACTGAGTAGTGATGCTGTGATGGTGTTGTGAGTGGTGATGCTGTGATGGTACTGTGTGAGTGGTGATGCTGTGATGGTGCTGTGATGGTGCTGTGAGTGGTGATGGTACTGTGAGTGGTGATGCTGTGATGGTGCTGTGAGTGGTGATGCTGTGATGGTGTTGTGAGTGGTGATGCTGTGATGGTGTTGTGAGTGGCGATCCTGTGAGTGGTGATGCTGTGATGGTGCTGTGAGTGGTGATGGTACTCAGTAGTGATGCTGTGATGGTGTTGTGAGTGGTGATGCTGTGAGTGGTGATGCTATGATGGTGTTGTGAGTGGTGATTGCTGTGAGTGGTGATGCTGTGATGGTGTTGTGAGTGGTGATGCTGTGATGGTGTTGTGAGTGGTGATTGCTGTGAGTGGTGATGCTGTGATGGTGTTGTGAGTGGTGATGCTGTGATGGTGTTGTGAGTGGTGATGCTGTGATGGTGTTGTGAGTGGTGATGCTGTGATGGTGCTGTGAGTGGTGATTGCTGTGAGTGGTGATGCTGTGATGGTGTTGTGAGTGGTGATGGTGCTGTGAGTGGCGATGGTGTGTTGGTATTTTGAGTAATTCTACCGTAAAGGTATACTGCCATAAGTGGTGGTGCTGGTAATGTGTATGATGGTGATGAGAGCGAAGGTGTTGTGAGTGATGCTGTTGAGTTGGTGTTGCGGGAGATGGTGTGCCGTGAATGATGGTGCTTGTGGGTGGTGTTTGCTGCCCCAGTCACTGACCCTGGAAGTGTCCAGTTTCTGGTCCTGTAGGAGTTGTAGCAGCTGCTCACAGGGGCCCATATCTGTCAACCCCTTATCAGTGGCCTACCGTATTACAGACCTTATTGGTCACCCCGTGCCCTTATACATCTCAACGTTCATCCTACAAAGTCCCATCATAAGGGAGAAACACAAATTGACAAAAATGTTTGCCCGTATTGAAACGGCTGTATGCCGTATGGACCTTAAAACTCTATTTCCCTGTTTAAGAATACGGGTAAACCGTATGGGTTGACACGGTATGCAGGCCGGTTTAACCTTTGTCCTTCTCCGCAAGGTTCGGAAGCTGTGCCGCCTGGGCTCACCGGGCCTGGTGAACACCGCGGAGCCTGAGACGGGCCAGTGTGGCCTGCACGTGGCGGCCGCCATGAACCTCCACGCCATGTGCACCATGCTGCTAGCCCTGGGCGCACGACCAGACGTGCAGGACCACCAGGGCTGGAGCCCCGTGATGGTGGCCGCGGCACTGGGCCACGAGTCCGTGGTGGAGGTGCTGGCCGCCGCCAAGGCCAACATGGCCCTGCTGGACCGCGACGGCAGAGGTATGGCCAAGTGGACGACCGTTCTCAGCCGCAGCGCATCCTTGCCTCGTCACGGCTCTGAACACTTCCTCTGTGACCGAACTCGTGTTGTTTTGGTCTTTTTTTACTGTAATCGCCCAAAGGCCCAGAGAACATCAAACGGCCAGCAAAGCGAACGTAACATAATTCATGTGAATACACGAACCTCTAATTATCACCTCCTGCTCCCTTGTGGACTCACTTTTGATGAACATCTCATAATGCTGGCTGATGATGATGCTGGTTGTAACTACATTTCCATATCCATTGGAGTGAGATTGCTCTCAGACACACCGGTGCACTGAAGCAATGATCGACACATTTGTTTACGTGACTATTGGCTGTGTTGGGTGGAGGAAGGTTTACGACACACATTTTACTTGCGCGATCTGACACTCAAATCAATTAAGAATCAGTGAGTTGAGATTGGGAGACGTAGGTATAGAACGAGTCCATGGAAGATCTAGACAACAGTGAAGTGATGTTGGAGTTCACCCAGGACTGCAATGGGAGCCAAGAGAGGGGTTTGAATATTGGATTGATGCTTACTCATTCACAGGTTTGGGTGAGAAATCTGGCAGCTGTAATTTGGATTATTTTAAGGTGAGGGATGTCAAGAGGCCGTAGTGTATTGAGTTACAGTATTCCAGTTGGGGTGTGATGAAGGCCTGGATGAGGGTCTCACCAGACATCGATGGTGCAAGGAGGTGGTGGATCTGGGCGATGTACAGATGAAGAGAGAAGCTCCTGCAGTGTTCAGAGATGTGAGAGGCGAACAAGAGCTGGGGTTCATTGACAACTCCGTCATAACTGGCACTATTTTCCAACATGATGTCAGGAGTATCGACTGAGAGCATGAGCTTTCAGTCAAGACGTTGCGAATAGGGCCCAATGCACGTAAACTATATTTTTTCTTTCAAGTTCACTCTAACACTGTACACTGTAACTATAGCTGGGAACAAGCTGTACATTCGGAAGATAGACCTACCCATTATTAAAAGTATTCAGTGTTTCCCCTATCATTCTCCTTGCAGAGCGGCACGCCGGGCCTACTGAATATTCAAAATAAATAGCTCGTGTTTAGTTTTGAAGTGCTGTTTTACAATTACATAGTCAATTAAATGATACACAACGCAAGAAGCGGAGATTACAATGTTATTAATCCCCCTGCCCCCCCCCCAAATATAGAAGTCAAACTCTGCCCATAACTGAGAGTAAACTTTTGGATAGTTTTAAGTTTTTTAGTATTCATTCGAAGGAATTTTGAATTCAAAGGCGAAATGTCAAAAGTCGAGAGTGCGGTGCAGCCATGGCAATGCACAACACAGCTCATGCAGCAATCACAGAGTCATTCGAGTCAGCACTTTTCTCCACGTCACACACCAAGGTTACTAAGCTCTCCCACTTGAGGTGGGAGAAGCATGGGGGTGGGGTGAAGGTGCAGTCAGGCGCATTTCACCTCCGTTGGCGTGCCCAGACTCGTAACACTCGCAATAGCGTGGGGGTTGCATCATACCCCCCTCCCCCGTCACTCACTTGGTCATGGGTAGTTGACAGCGTGGCCACCTAAATGAGAGCAGTAAGCAGTAATGTGGTAAATGGTAGCAGAAAATGGGCGCTCCAAATGTGGCCTCTGGCTCTGTACAATTAATGTCAGTTGCCTTCGGTTTATAAATTAGAAAGGCGTGTAAAATGTGAAGACTTGGACGTGGCTAATATCATGTCACTGCTTTGTGATGAAAGAGGTGCCACGTTGGCGAGATGTTAACTACCTCGCTAGGTATACAGGATATCATGGGTTCGATCCCAACTTTAACGCCCGTATATTTTGAGTTTGCATGTTCTCCCCGTGGTCAAGTGGATTTTTCTCCTGGTCCTCTGGTTTTTCTCTCCACATTTAGAAACATGCGTTTAGAGCATTTGGCTGATATCAATTTCAACACGATAAACCACTTAGTTGAGCTATGATTTGTGGCCACGTCGCTTGTGAAAAAGAGCTATGCAGATCAGTGGGCTCACCTGGTAAAATAAAAATAGCTTAGCTTTGAGGTCTGATATCCAGATCTGAATCTGAGATTTAGCCACCCGTGATTAAACTGGGTTGTCAGCCGTAGTGACTTGATGGTTTCATAAAAAATAATGTTAAATTAGTTTCTCACATCATTGAGATTGGTTGACAGTAATGCACACTTTTTAAAGGGCATATTGATGGCGTTCCCCTTGTTGCTATGGGAGTGACTCAGAAGTAATTCTGTAACATTATCTTCTGCAAGACTTGTGAATGGAAAGTTATTCCCCTTGGTCATGATGCCAAAAGCACAATTTGTAGATCCTGCAAATGGGAAGGAAAACAAGGTGATAATTTGGACCTTGTACATTTAGTGCCACGGTGGCAAGATGTTAACTACCTCGCCTGGTATGCAGGAGGTTGTAGGTTGGTTGTAGGTTCGATCCCGACCCTGACACCTGTATATTTGGAGTTTGCATGTTCTCCCCATGGTCGTGTGCATTATTCCCTCCTCATTTGGAAACTTTGCGTTTAAAGAGTATTTGGCTGTTATAAAAAAAAAACACTTAATTGAGCTATAATTTTGGCCAGGTCGCTTCTGAAAAAAAAGGTACATCCCTTAGTGGGCCTTACCCGGTTAAATAAACAATAGTTTTAGAATATATCATGGGATCTCCTTTGCCAGTACCAAAATATGATCATCGGTTTTTCCTCTTTTTTCTGGCAACAAAACATGTGTTAAGCTGTTAAAACACCAAACTGAAACCTTTTACAAGGAATCATGTCTGCATTAACCACAATGCTTGTGGTCAGAATGCAAACAAAAAACACACTGATAATATATGCATTGTCTTTGAAACTGATTGGTCCACACCAGAGACAGCTTTCTTTTGAGCCTCATCTCAAACGGTGTTGGACCAGAGGACGCCAAAAGAGGACGACGAGGCTCAAAAGAAAGCTGTCTCTGCTGTGGACCAATCAGTTTCAAGGACAATGCATATATTATCAGAGTATGTTTTAGAATAGTTCGTTTTTAAAACATTGCTAATCCATTCCCGCTATACAGTACCGCTGACCCAGCTGGCTGGTCGCTGATGATCACATGCTGCGCGTGCGATTTGAGTGAGACGACAAACCCCAGCCACCCTCTCCATATCATATGAGCATCGCTCTGTGCGGCGTCTTGCAGGGGTTCTCTTCCACTGCTTGCAGCCGTCTCAGCGGCACGAGCGATGCATGCGGCTGGTGCTGCGCGGCAACGCCGATGTGAACGTGGTATCGCGGCCCGGCACACATGCGCTCTTCCTGGCCGCTCAGCTCTCGGCGATCAGCCCCAACATGAGCCTGCAGCTGCTGGAGCACGGAGCCAACGCCAATGCATCCGACAGCGTGAGTAGCTGTGTCACATGACAGCAAGAGTGAGTACGTACACATATTTGTGAATGTTGAACTTCTTTCGCACCGTATGTAGCCAACCGTGCTAATCGGAGGTGCGGGGTGAAGGAAAACAAACCAAACACGAAAAGCAGTTCTGAAAAAATTAGTTTGTCAATCTAAGGAATTTTAAAGTGCATAGCTCCCACCGGCTACCTAATATCGGAAGGAAGAGCATTCCAGATGGCCGCAGAAGTGCATCTGAAAGTGCACAATGCAGCGCCACGTGGCAGCAAGAGTGTCACTGTCATGTGACAGCATAGTCGAGTGGCTTGCCAGAGGACAATGGAGTTACTGTTTCATGTTACAGCATTAACTGCTATATTGTTTGTCATGCGGCAGCAAGAGTTAATCTATGTGTTATGTGACTACACTCCAGTCGCTGACAATTGATGGAATGTGTTTCTTTCATGCCACAGCATTGGTTGAGTATCATACGACAACATTATTGAGTTCCTATGTAATGCCACAGGATAAATCACCGTGTTACACGGAAACATGAGAAGCTGTGCTGTGTGATCATGGCAGCTTCTCCCTGTGCATGTCAGCGCGCTGGTGTCACATGGAAACTGTAGCTGTTGGAGTGCCACGGTGGCGAGATGTTAACTACCTCTCCTGGCATACAAGATAGTCGTCGGTTCGATCCCGACCCTGACGGCTGTATATTTGGAGTTTGCATGTTCGCTCCGTGGTCGCATGGATTTTTCTTCAGGTCGTCCGTTTTTTATTTCTTCAGGTCTGTTGCTTTTGCAGAAATGCCGCTGAGCGTACACGTCAGCAAAATATGTTTTGCTCTGTTCTAATCGGGCTTGCACTGCTTCCGTGCTATGATAGGGTGGTGATCAACGGTTTATGTTGAAGGTCTGTGAGACTTTTTTTTCTGTAAACAGTTGCTGAGTGCAGGCCAATGGGGCCAAAACGTCAAACGGCCAGCAACAAACGGCAGCATCAAGTTGTAACAGATGAGAGTTGACATGTTTCTTGAATTGAGCAAGGTTATATTATTACCGAATGTGCAAATGGAGTAAAACGGTGCTGGATCATCAATAAACCTGACCGCTGTACCTATTCTTCGAATTCTGTCACATGCAGTCAGGAAGACACTGGGTGCTCCAGACTAGATAAGACAACATTTTGTGGCTGCCAGGAGTGATGATGTGAATTTCTGCGGCAGTGCTGGAAACTGTCTTCCGTGGGTTGGCTTCAGCGATAACAGTCGCCGTGTGTGCTTAATGGACTCACACTGTGGTTCTGAGACCATAGGTATTGAGATATCTACAGTATTTGTATTCGTATTACGTTGTTTACGCAGTGAATCTCATTCCAATTGTGTAATGTGTGGGTAATTATTCAATGTCGGCTTTTGGCCAATAGCAGTAAGACCTCCGATTAGCATGGTAGGCTACGTGGGGTGCGAAAAAAGTTCAGCATTGTATGGCTTTTTTTAGTTATGGGAGGAAACCAGAGAACCCGGAGAAAATGCATTTAGGACAGAAAACATACAAAGCGCTCAAATCGGGAGCCGAACCCAGGCCCTTGTTGCTGCGTGAGGCGTTACCACTGCACCACCACCACCCTAGCGTCCTTGAAGAGACGCACTGTGCGTGCACCAGGCGACTGGCAGGAGCGCCCTCATGGAGGCTGCCGCGGTGGGGGCCGTCGAGGTGGTGCGGGTGATCCTCCGCTGCGGCGGCGACGTGAACGCTCGCGACAAGCAAGGCAGCCACTCCGCACACCGCGCCGCCCTCAACGGCCACTTCCAGGTATGACCGTCGGGCACAGGGGCCTGGCGCGCGTGGAGCCTCGCTTGCCAGCAACATGGCCAGAAGGAGGCTGCGTTGCGTGCGCTTACCAGTGCACACATGCCCACGTTACCCTGCATCACGAGGCAACGCGCGAAGCAGCAGCGGTCGCCCTCAGTAAAGTCGGTGTCAGGGTGTGAACGCCGGAGTTTGTGCGCTGGGTGCATATGTACACTGTGGATCTGTGTGTGTTTGCCTGGTGCCTGTAAACTGAGTGCATGCATACCCTGTGTGTGTGTGCATGGTGCCTGTGCACTGGGTGTAATTGTACGCTAGGTGCATGTGTGCCCTGTGTTTGCATGTGTTGCATGTGCACCCTGCTTGTGTGTGCGTGTGTTGTATGTGGCTAAACGGGGGCTCTGGACGGGTGCGAGGGGCTGGTAACCCCTCCACCTTCAAAAAATTACCACGAAATCACGACTAAAATATCTAACTAATAAGCTTGTGCTGGAGGCCCCGGGAGACAGGCGTCTATGACGTGTCCTGGCCAAACCACAATTGGCGGAGCCATGAGATTGAATCTCTACCCTCGGGGCTCCTCCAGAAACAACGAAAAGCCACTTCGTGTGGCCACGTGGAATGCTCAAACGCTCACTGCGGAGGAGAGGCTGCCACTCCTCTGTCGGGAGCTGGACCGGTACCGCCTGGATCTCTGTGGCATTCAGGAGGTCTGGTGGACCAGTTCTGGCTCCTGCCACCATGAGGGGTGGACAGTCCTCTACTCGGGGCAGCAGACTGCCAAACAACAAGATGTGGCTCTTCTTTTGAACAAAAGAATTAAGGGTGTGTGGGAGCGTGGCGGTGATGTGTGGGAAGCTGTAAGCCCCAGGCTACTTTGGGCTGGCCTTCCCATAAACCGGAGGCGAGGAGTGGTGGTCGTGGTTACTTATGCCCCCACCAAAGACGAACATCCATGGAGGGATTCAGGCAAAGCCGATGAGTCAGATGCCTTCTATGACCTGTCACAGGTGCTGGCTAAAGTGGCACCTCGGGATAGAGTCATCTTGTTGGGTGACTTCAATGCCCGAGTTGGTCATGATGCTGGCACCTGGTCTGGAGTGATTGGAGGGCATGGGCCAGATCAGCTCAATAACAACGGTAGGAGGCTGCTAGATTTTTGTACAGCCCATGGGCTTGTAATTACCAACACGCTGTTCCGGCATCGGCGCATCCACACAACATCATGGATACGTGCCGGGTCCAAGCAAAAACATCTGCTGATCTACATAGTGCCGGACCAGCGGATGCGAGCCCATGTCCTTGACACCAGGATCTACCGTGGAGCTGATCTGCCCTCTGACCATCGACTAGTCATCTGTAAGATGCGCCTGCCATTCTTCCACTCTGGCTGTGAGTGTACACCCAGGACCCCATTCCATGGCCTGATCTCAGCCGATGAAAGTTGCAAGTGAGAATTTCATCATCGCTTGCGGTTGGGGTTGGCATCGTCCCCCACTCCTCCTGATGTCGAGGGTAAATGGGCGAGGTTTAGGACTGTGACTCATGCAGCTGCAATGGCTGCTTTGGGTATGCGGTCCAGACCTCCCCAGAGACCCTGGCTGACAGAGGAGGTGTTCAGGATGGTTGAGAAAAAGCGACAGGCCCACTGTCATCGGCTACAGAATCCCACGTCAGAGAATGAGGAGGCTTACCTCAGCCTTCGCTCGGAGGTTCGGAGAGCCGTGAGGCGCTGCATGGATGGGTGGTGGTCGCGGGTTGCTGAGGAGATGGAGTCTGCCTCAGTGGCCCGCGATGACAAATCTCTATTTAACTCCAACAAAAAAGTAACCTGCAGCGCCACACCTATTACCATCATTAGGGGAAAAAATGGTGTTCCAATCTCCGACCCCCAGGAACAGGTTTGCAGATTTGCTGAGCATTTCTGTGAGGTCCTGGGGGAGGGTAAACCCCTCAGCCAGGAAAACATTGTGGCACAAAGTGGGGATGACCCTGCTGAGGCTGCGGTGCCTCAAATATTGGAAGAAGTCACCCCCTGTGAGTGGCTGGCTGAGGTGCCATCTGTTGAGGAAGTACTGAAGGCGATCCGGAGTCTGAGACCAGGAAAGGCACCAGGTAGAGATGATCTCCCAAGCAAAATGCTGAGGGACGGTGGCGTTTGTGCACAGACTGCCCTATATGACATCATAACAACAGTCTGGACCACTGTACGGATTCCGCAGGATTGGAAGGATGCCCTGGTGGTCCCCCTCTTTAAGAAGGGGGACCGCACAGACTGTAACAACTACAGGGGCATCTCACTCCTCAGTGTGCCGGGAAAGGTCTTGGCAAGGATTATTCAACATCGCCTTGCCAGGCACGCTGAGGAGAGGCTTGCAGAGCCCCAATGCGGTTTCAGGAAAGGGCGGTCCTGCACAGATGCCATATTTTCTGTCCGTCTGCTACAGCGGAGGTGTAGGGAATTCCAACAAGACCTACATCTCTGCTTTATTGACCTGGTCAAGGCCTTATTGCTCAACCACGTTATGTATGCCGATGATTTGGTAATAGCTGCTCATTCAGAGGAGAAGTTGGAGACGCTGCTGCTGAGACTGGAGCGTGCCACTAAGAGATGGTGCCTTACCATCAGCCCCACCAAAACTAAGCACCTGCCTGGGTATTTTGTACCATCGGACACTCCATCAATCGGTGATGGGGCAGTTGTGGAGAGAGTGGAGAGCATCCCATACCTGGGCAGTGTGCTTATGACCGGCTCCAGTTTAACAGCAGAGGTCTCACTCCGAATCAGTCGAGCGGCAATATCTTTTCATCGGTTGCGTAACGCTGTGTGGAAGCTACCTGGTCTGTCGCTCCGCACTAAACTTCAGGTCTTTCGGCCACGGTCATTCCCTCCCTTTTCTATGCTTGCGAAACGTGGACCCCCTTAATGGAACATCTTCGCCGGTTAGAAACATTTAGGCTAGCCTGCCTATGATACATCCAGGGTTTAACCAGGCTGGATTGTGTGAGGAGCTCACAAATCCTTGAAAGATCTGGGCAAGGTCCCAACGGTGAGCTCCTCCGGCAGGCAAGGCTGCGTTGGCTGGGTCATGTAGCCCGCATGCCCAGCCACCGCATGCCAAAACAGCTTTTGTTCGGCCGGATCAAGGGGGCTAAACTGGCGCGGCACGGGCTAGAGAAGAGATGGAGTGATGTGGTACAGGAGGATGTGGAGGTGAGTGGACTTGCCGATGACTTGTACCAGCGGTGTCAAGATCATCCTCTGTGGAGGAGGCTCATGAAGGAAGCTACTGGGCAGTTGGAGGCAGTCGCCCTCCAACAACAACGGAGGGCGGTGGAGCGATGCTCACAACAACGAGCGGAGCGCCGGGTGGCTAAAGCACAGCAGGTTGGCACAGTAGGGGGCACAGGTGGTGCATCAGCCAGTCATCTCAGTCAGTCGACCCGTGGCACCTGGGTCTGCCCCGTGACCTCCTGCCAGCGGGCGTTCAACACTTCACGTCGCCTCAAGGTGCACATGGCCTGGCACAAGCGTCGTGGTGACGTCACCGCCACTTAGTGGAGAATGGCGGTTGTTATTGTTGTATGTGTACCCTGTGTATGTGCCTGAAAAGGTGTTGCATGTGTACCCTGTGTGTGCATGTGTTGTACGTGTAGTGGGGAACGGTAGTGTAGTGGTTAGTGCGCTGCGCTACGAACCTGGCGACCCAGGTTCAAATTCCCGCTCACGGCCAACACCAGTGACGATTATCTGAACCAGTCCTGGGCCTCTGCCTCAAATGAGTACCTGGTGCGATGTGTAAACATCGCCACTAGGGAGACAAAGGCGGCCACCCACCCCCTCGTGTACCGTGCCGGCCTTTATAGGTGCTCGTTAACAGCACTTGCCCCTACAGTCTGCTAAGGCTATAGGGGGATCTTTGTATGTGTACACTGTGTGTGTGCATGTGTTGCATGTGTAGTGAGTTCAAGGAGAGTAGATACGACTTGTAGAGGCAACACGTTTATTCCAATAACAACAGTAACGATCCCTAACACAAAGGGATAGCGGCCCCTCCACCCGATACCTGGGGAGGTATAGCCTCCGGGCTAGCGTGCCCTATCACTGGGGCTACGTACTCTCAGCCCTCCGGCTAAGGGGTCCTAGGGGAGGCTAGCTGACCCGACCCAGCCAAGGTCCTCAGGTCCCAACCACTGACCCACTCGGTCCCGGCCCTTAGAAGGACGTCGGGTCCGGGGTTTCCCAGGGTCCTAGCCGAAGCAGGTCTTCAGTCTTCAGATTGACGATGACTGCCGGACCCATCCAGAGGTCCGGCTTTTATACCTGTTTCAGGGTTTCCCTGCCCCTAGCCACGCCTCCCTTCTGGAACTGTCTCGGGGGCTCTGGAATATCCCCCCAGCCCCTCTCTTAGAGTCTGGGGAGCCCTATTAGCCCAACAGGCCAACTCATCTCACCCATTCGTTATACCACCCACTATTGACACATGCCTGCTACTACAGGTAAGGATGAGTGGGAAATGTACAGAGCCCAACCACGCTACTACATCATCCCCCCTTGTAGCATTCAGCCGTCCCAGCTGCCAACATACCCCCAAGAACATCAATAAAGCATGTAACCACGTGTGCCTCAATAAAAAATGTTAACAGCAACAAACCGCGTGGTCCCACATAAATACCCCAACCCACCTGTACAAAATTTTACACTATATACATATATACACATTGTCGTACGCCCACCCGCATCCGCATGACACACCCAATGACGACGCGGCCGGCCGTCAGCATGAGAAGGGCAAGACAAGCATCGAACAACGACCAGTCGGACGCAAGGTAAGTGTGCGGTGCGGAGGCCGTGAGAATGTGGGCAAGTTCATGAAAATTGTTTTGATTTCGAGTGAGTCCGTATGGCTGGTCCATCAGGAGCGGTGGAGGGTTGCGGGGGCGGCTTCCTGGTTGGGCGGACAAATGCTCGCCATCTGGAGCGGCCGGCGTGGACAGCCGCG